CCCCCTCCCTTCCCGCTCCCCCCTCCCTCATGAACACTTGATAATTTATAAATTATTATTTTGTTATATCTTGTCCTGTCCGATGTCTCCCTTCACCCACTTTTCTGTTTTCCATCCCCCAGGGAGGAGGTCACATGTAGATCCTTGTAATCAGTTCCCCCTTTCCAACCTACCCTCCCTCTACCCTCCCAGTCTTAATCATTTCTTGTTGGTACATTTATAATAGCCCTCTACCTCATTCTGTGCTTTCAGACTACCAGCTGCTCTGAGCGAGAGATGAGGATGTCTGCTCTTATCAAGATCCATAGCCTTGGAAACAACATATGGGATGGGTATAAGTATAAATCCACTTGGTGGCAGGGAGTTTTTACCTAGTTCCCCTGTCTTCATTTGCTTCCACAACAATGGGTCTAAAATGGTAAACCTAATAACATCACTAATCTGCTTAATAAAGCTTCATGGTACTCCACTGCCATGAATTTAATGCCAAAGTTGTAAACATAGTCTATAAGGCACTTAACCCTATTTACTCTTCTAGTTTCTTTATCTACCTTTCCGAATTCCAGAAAACTGCCCACTGTCCAATGGCTATTCTGGGATCTTCTAGGCTTCCCTTCAGTCGGTCTCACTCTTTTCTAGGTCATGGAGCACTGGTGATGTAGTCGTTATGCGCTGGATTGTGATCTGCATAGCTGGCAGCTCAAAACCACCCGCAGCTCTGTAAGAGAAAGACTGGGCTTTTCACTCCCATAAACAATCTTTGAACCTCCCAGGTTGAGTGGGTGGAGGGGGAAGGGGGCATTGCTATGAGTCAAATTGATTCAATGGCAGTGAGTTTTTAATTTTATTTTCCTATGCCTGTAATACACCAACCTTCCTTTTAAACTGTTGAAATTCCATTCAGCCTTCAAGTACAGGTTAAAATTTTAACTTTTGCTAATTATATGTGACCTTAGATGCTGTGCTTTCCAAGTACTTTGGTCATACTCTCTCTCCATTGGATAATTATGTAGCCCTAAAAGGAGGAGTCTTGGTAACAGAAGGTTGGAGGTTTGGACTCACCAGCTGCTCCATAGAAGAACTATGAGGCTATCTTCTCCCATGAAGATTTATAGCCTTGGAAACTCAACATCAGATCACTGTGAGTCAGAATAGAGACAATGGGTGAGGATTTTCAATTTATCTTTGTCTCCCTCAGGCACCCATGAGTTGGATCAAAGGCAGGGAGTCTGATTTGTCTTGTTATCCCAAGTTCTTAGCAGGGTGCCAGTACTTAGGTGATTCTCAAATACTTTGCTGACTCCATGGATTAAGACATATTTTAACAGTTAGGGGTAGGGGGTAGGTTGGGTTCCTTATAATAAAAACTCTAAATGTATGACTTTAAAAGGTAGAGGGTGCAGAAGAAATTCAGACAGGCACCTAGACTGTCTGGTCTCTTCACAATGGCATCAGTGTCCCAAAAGACCACTAAAATGCTGCCCCCCCCGCCCCCCACTCTTATCTCCAAGAACTCCTGGTGATGCAAAATGGCCACTCAAGCGCTAGTGGCTACATCTGAGTTCTGGGCAATAAGAAGTAAAAAGAAGGGAAAATGAAAGAGGACAATAAGTTCTCTCAGAAGTGCTTGTTTCTACTGCTGATTCCTCAAGGGAGGTTGAGGAAAACTATTTTTATGTTAACACATTCATATTGTTTCCTAGAATCAACCCAGGGTTCTCTTTTGGAAAAAGATGGACAGATTGGAGATTAGGTCAGCATCTAGCAGTCCCTCACACAAATTTTTTTGTGATCCTTCATGATAGCTGTGGCTTTTGGATAGATAATCTTTGCCCTGGCTGAAGGGGATGGTCACCTCTGCTACCTTGAATTTGCAAATGAGTTTCCATTGGGGTACCAATGACAAGGACTTTATTGTTGTTAGGTACTGTCAAATTTACTCGTACTTAAATATATATATATATATTTTTCAAATGAGTTGCTTTAATTCCAGATGGTACAGAATGCTGGGCATCACAAAGACTGAGGAGCAGCTCTGGCAGGTTCTGTACTGGGTTCACTCTGACCTCACAGCTAAGATAGAAATGGCTGAGTGAGAAGAACTAAACATTGTGTGATTTTTCTTCTTTTTTACAAAAGTTTATTCTTAATGTACAACAGGCTCCAAGACAACACTTCATTCTAACTATAAGTGGCAACAAATGTTCTAGCAGGGAATCCAGATGTTTACACAGGAACAGAATCAAGGGTCACCATTGCCTCAGCCACCAAGAACAGCTTACTTTTTGCCAGATTTCTTAATTCCACCTGTGGCCAGGGGCCCCTTCCCCGTGGCCTTCGCCTTTAGCTCCTCCAGTTTCTTTTGTTCTTCCTTCTGTTTCTGCTTGAAAGCCTTATCTTCCTCATCCATCTCCTTGTTCTGCTTCTTGGGTTGTTTCAGGGGCTTCTTGCCACCTTCATGGCCCAACATGGCGCCTGCTTCCCCTTCCCCAGACCTGCCACCGAAAAGCCTACTCGTACTTATATTAACCGAATGTATAACAGAACAAAACTCCACCTCACCTGCACCATCCTACCATAGGAGATGTGTTTGAGCCCATTGCTAAAGCCACCATGTCAATCCATCTTGTTGAGGGTCTGCCTGTTTTTCACTTCTGTGGATGACTCTTGTGAACCATGTAATCTCGCTGCCATTGAGTCGATGCTGGATCATAGTAAGTCTTAATAAGGGTTAGATCCGCCCCTGTGAGTTTCTGAGACTAATTGTTTATGGGAGTAGAAAACCATCCTTCTCCCTCCATGGTTTCAAACTGCGGACCTTTGGAATAGCAAGCAAACTCATAACCACTACACCAGCATGGTTCCTGTTCCACATCGATTAGAAGGTTCCCATTAGAAACCTTATCTTAACAAAGCCCACATGGAAGAACATATTCGCCTGTGTGTTCACAAGGTGTCGAAGGGATCGCTGAAGACAAATGGGTGCATAAGCAAATGTGGCGAAGAAAGCTGATGGTGCCCGGCTATCAAAAAGTATAGCGTCTGGGGTCGTAAAGG